AATATCCTCTTTTCAGTGTTTTCCTAGAAACTTTCAGGTTATATAATCTCTTTTTTTTTTTTTTTTCCTACTCTTTTCAGAGTAATTCTGCAGTCCAGTGTTCAGAAAAATAAAACCTCTGAACCTAGCATTTCTGACAGTACAAACATTACTAAAAGAACTACCAGATCTGCAGCAAGAAACAAAAGTATAAAAAGGTGAGAGCTACCCTCTTTAAAGATCCAGTAACTGTTCTGTAGACAAATACTTTTGAGCTGGTGTATCCGCTGCTGTTAGAGGCTTTTGCCACAATTTAATTCCTCCTCCTGAAAATGAGAAATGAGAAGCAAGAAGCAGTTTTTTGTCTCATGTTATATACTGAGAATATCTAGAACTTTACATCTTACATGAATCAGATTATACTGCTGAGTCCTTCGAGTTTCAGAATTTTATATTCTTATTCCTAAAGTGAGTAAGAACTACTGGAGTTAAGTGATTCTAGTATCCAAAAAAATCTTGTAATTATCAAATCTAATCTGGAATAAGAGAGGAAAAGTTGTTCACAGCATTCAGAGTTAGATTTAGCATGCAAAGTAAACTTGTGGACAACTGAAATGCAGTTGTGGGCAAATCCAGCAGTGGGTAGGTGAAGTGTATAAAATGCATATGTGGTGTGAGATTTCATAGTGGAGCATCACTGATTATCTGGTCTGAACTTGTTCCACAGAACTTAAGGAAATTTTAAATTTGGATGAATGTATACGAGGGTGAAAGTGTTTTTTGATGCAGAAGAATATGGCCCCAGTATTAATATGTTTCTACTGCACACACATGTGTTCATACCTCTCTGCAGTAGCTCTCCAAGACGTTATCAAAGATGAGCTTTAGAATATAACTTGATAGAATTTTCAAGTAATATTCAGTAGCTACAGATGAACAGAATCTGCCTCGGGCTTACAAGGAACAACTTTTGAATGGATCTACCAGGTGCTGAAGATATATTTTTTTCTTAGGAAGCAAAAAAGGTGGCAAATAACAGCAACAACAACAAAAAAAACCCACAGCTCAGACTCTAGTTTATGTGGCTTGCTTAATAAGTTTTGCTGAAAATTCCAGGTTTTTGTGCAGTTCTTCTTCCCTACATAGTTTTTGTTTTCACAACCTCACCCACTTTTGAAGGTGACAGACATTATGAAAAATCCACTGTATTGGGCTAAGGAAGTAGTCTAAGTAATAGCAATCTGCAAGAATGTGCTAGTCAGAATTTTCATCAGCAGCTATATGAATTTTATGAATTGTATTTTGATTCATATAACATGTAGAAAAATACTTCATTTTTCCTGAAATATCTGTTTTCCTAAAAATCTTAAGTCTTTCTCGGAGTTTTACTGAGAAACTCCATTCTACATTGTTTTCACCATGTCAGTTTTGTTCCAGATAGACTGATGGGATTCCCACAGCTGTTTTTATTCTTCATAAGTTTTAATCTACTTGCAGCTCTTCATAGTAGTATACTTGATTGAACACGTATATTCAGTTCCTGGAAAACACACCTTTAAGTAGATGGTTGTGTTGTGAGGGATCAGACTACCTATCCATAGGAGGAAACAACATCCCCAGAGCAAGGAAGATTTCAGTTATGTTGAAATAAATGCTATGTATGTGTTGACAGATTTATGACTCAGAGGGCCAAGGATCAGGTTTCAAATTACCTCACATTTGATAAAGCATTTCCTGTTTTAATGTCTTTTCTAAAACTTCTACCCCAAATATTTCATTCTATATACTGTTTCTTCTAACATTTGCATAGTCACAGTGGCCCTAAATATTTGTTCTCACAGTTCTGGAGTTCTTAATTATCTTTTCATCTTAGAGAATTAATTGGGTACTCATCCCTCTAAAGACTATTTCAGTAAGACTGTTTATATTCCAGATTTCCACTTAGTACCTTGCTATTAATCCTGTAGGTGTCCTTTTATTAGAGTGTTTGGCAAAACCTTACTCAATTTTTTTAAGCCTTGCTTTCTTTTTTCATGCTTTTTCAGGAACATCTGCAGCTAGGCCACTCAGAGCCTGTTGCTCAGAGCCTGTTTCAGCCTAGCCTTGAATATCTCTAAGGATGGAGCATGCAAAACCTCTCTGGGCAGCCTGTTCCAGTGCCTCACCACCCTTATTGTCAAAAACTTATTCCTTACATCCAATCTAAATTTTCTCTCCTTTACTTTACAGCCATTTCCCCTTGTCCTGTCAGAGCAGGCACTGCTAAAAAGTCCCTTCTTTCTTCTAGTCCTGCTTTAGATATTGTAAAGCTGCTGTCAAGCCCCCCTGGCGCCTTCTCTTCTTCTCCAGGTTGAATCACAGAGTAATAGAATAAAAAAGTGATTTGGGTTGAAAGGGACCTTTAAGATCATCTAGTTCTAACCCCAACTGCTATAGGCAGGTATATCTCCCTCTAGACCAGGTTTTTCAAAGTCCTGTCCTGCCATGTCTTGAATGCTTCGAGGGAGGGGGCATCCACAGCCTCTATGGGCAACCTGTTCCAGTGCCTCACCACCCTTCACAGTAAAGAATTTCTTCCTAATATCTAGTCTAAACCTACCCTCTTCCAGTTTAAGGCCATTTCCCCTTTTCCTCTTGCTACCTGCCTTTACAAAAAGCTCCCCTCCCCCCCCCCCCAGCTTTCCTGTAGGCCCCCTCCAGGTACTGGAAGGCTGCTATAAGGTCTCCTCAGAGACTTTTCTTCTCCAGGCTGAAGAACCCTAACTTTCCCAGCCTGTCCACACAGGGGAGTTGTTCCAGCCCTCTGATCATGTCTGTGGCCCTCCTCTGCACCTGCCTCCAACACTCCATGTCAAACAGCCCCAGGTCTTTCCACCTGTCCTCATAGGGGAGGTGTTCTATCCCTTGGATAGCTTTTGTGAGCCCTCCTCTGGATGCTCTGCAACGACACCATGTCTGTTCTGCGCTGAGGACTCCACATCTGGACACAGTACTCCAAGTGAGGCCTCACGAGTGCAAAGTAGAGGGGCAGGATCACTCCCTTCAACCTACTGGCCACGTTTCTTTTGATGTAGCCCAGGATATGTTTGGCTTTCTGGGCTGCAGGAGTACATTGCTGGCTTGTGTCCAGCAATGTGTACCATCCACCAGTATCGCCAAGTCCTTTTCAGCAGGACTGTGCTCTATCCTTAATTACCCCAGCTTGTACTGATAAGTATTGCCACAACCCAGTTGAAGTCTGTGAAGTTTGTATTACCTCACAGTACATAAATAGATTGACCTTTTCCAGATAAATTGAATGCAATGTATAGGGAAATAATTACTGTTAAAAAACTGAGATTGTGTCCTAACCAACATCTACCTTTGTCAAGAATCTGTTGCTTTCTCTGAATGTCTGATATTAGTGTGGACCTTTATTCTTCTCTTGACTTGTTGTATTCCAGTGGAAAAATCTTGCAGTTTTTATACAAAACTTTTTTGTTGATGCTCCAGGCCATTTTAGTCAGTTTTTACTCCAGATTAATCACTTTTTTTTGACCCATCATTACGCAGCATAATCAGCAGATCTGAATTTACCATTTCATCCTTCAAACTTTTGGACACTATCATATAAAATGTCCCTAGAATGGTACTTCAGCCAAAGTAGTCATTTGCAGTTAAAATATTTTGTTCTGGTTTTGCATAGTGGTCTTAGAGAATTTCAGTATATTGCTCACAATGTTCATTATATTTCCGTTGTGGAATGTCTCAAGATGTCAGCTGCCATCTACAAAAGACAGTACTGGTGGGCATAACACATTATCTGTTGTGACTGAAATAACGTTGTTGTGTAACTGCAAGACGCTGCATGACTAAAGCATTCTCCACAGTTTTTTTTCTGTGGGTGTCCTTATTCTAATCTTTTTTCTCCATTGAGGATAATATCCCATGTAAATTTTTGAGTTACTGGGAATGAAGCCTGTTTGTGTTTGTATCTTAACAGGATGCATATAGCAGATTATCTTTAGGACAGATGGGTCATTTTCCTCTCCTATTTCCCTCCTCACTTTCTTGCTATCAAATCGCTTTTAGTAGAACAGTGTGCTATATCAGCTGAAAGGTGAGATGGAAGAGGATTCTCAAAATCTTAACTCTTAACGTAAATAATCATTGCCTAGACTTGATCCCAAAGTACGTGAAGGACTGGAATAGCATTCTTCTTAGACAGATAGCTGGACTAGCAGAAATGCATAGCAAACCTGTGTTCTCTGCAGGATAAGAACCCTGTGCATTTTGGCCAACAAATTGATACTTCAGAAATTCCCAGACCAAATGAAACGTAGTAAGGCCCAAATGAAGCAGTTTTCTCTGTTTTATCATCTTAGAGATTTAGAATTATGTACATAACAAGTAATTGGTTAGAAGTGAAATCTTGAATGATCAAAGAATTTTGGTAGCTAGAGCTGCTGAAGAGAATATGGAGGTCAAGTTATTACGGAAAAAAAAAACTTGAGAGGACAGGAGAAAATGCATGAAAATGTGGTATAGATTATTTTACTTCTTTTAACAAGAGAGGATTATGCTTTTACAATCTCATGTGCTTTTACTTCATTGGAAATTGTAAAAGGAGCCGTCTGTACCCTTGCTCATACATTGAAAATTGCCTGCAGCATTTCAGAGCTTATCTATGTAATCTAGGTCTAGCTTGAAAAATATTAATGTTTCTCTGCTACTCTTTCTACTTTTCCTTCAGTCTGATACATCAGAGGGAGAGAAGAAAAATGAATACTTTACAGCAATTGTACTTATTGAAATTATGTTGCTTTTTTGTATGAAACTGAGCCTTTCTTCATATTCTCTGCGAACACACTGGTCTGTGCTTTCTTTACAACTGATATTGCTGTGTTTTTAAATGCTGTGACTTTTACAATGTCTCTTTTTTGAAATATAGTTTAATTGTTTTATCTTGCCAACAATATTAGCTTCAAATAATTTTTTGGGTACACATTTCAATTTTTTTCCTCAAATATGTTTTATTTCAGCAGCCAGTCCACCACAAGAACTAGAACAGTATTGCGTTAAAATTTCAAATTGGCAAGCAGTGTTGAAAGGGGATATCCAGGCATGAAGGGGATACAACTTGAAGACACTTGATTGCAGTTCTAGGAAGATGTCTTTGGTTCCACTTAAGCAGAAGAAACTCATTCATACTTGTAAAATAAAACTGGCAACATGCTTGGCATACAGTTTCTTAATTACTAATACTTCCTCAAGCAAAACCAACAAAATAGTGTAAATTCAGACTCAGGTGTAAATACTTGAGCTCTCTATTGTAAAGAGGGCTCCCTACCATATATGATGCATGTGCATAAAATGTGATGGCAATTACAGCTGCTGACCACCAGAAGTGAGAAAATGGTGGGAGTTTTTAATATGTAAATCTGTGTTGTTCATTCAGACCGGACTTAGGTCTCCACTTGAGACTGAAACTCTACCACGGAGGTTTTTTACTTATAGGATTGGTACTCTCTTGTGTTAACTGGCTATTCTTTCTTATTTTATATGAATTTTTTTTTATGAAGTCCTGGTGTTGAGAACAAAGTAACTATTGTCCACCAGAGAGTGCTTTATTTTCAAAGACTGTGATTCTTTTTTAATTTTAATTTTGGGGAAAAAAAAAAAAAAAAAAAAAAAAAAAAGCCAACTGAAAGCAATTATCTTGTTTTTAATAGCGATAGATTTTCAGTTGTTCCCAACCACTGGCTCTTTTATCTATTTGTAATTGCTTTAAATCCAGTATGATTGTAAGAAGGAGGAAAAACATTTAAAGCAGTGAAATGTCATTACTCTTTCTTTTCATATCATCACATCTTTTAGATGAATCTTTAGATTACCATATCTGAAAGATAAGACGTTTTTGGCAGGACGTATTGGTAGATTTAATAAGTTACGAATGTTACTGGCTTTTTGCTTGAATGTACTTAATGAGTGCAGCACATTAAAAAAAAAGAAAAAAGAAAAGAAATATACACTTCCTGTGCAACTGAAATTGATAATGGAACTCTGGAGCAGATACAGTTGGGAACATCTAATTACAATGATTAAAAAACTCTTACTTACTTCTCAGTTAAAAGCAATGAAATTTTTTTAGCAATCTGAGATTGAAATTTTCATCCACTGCAAGATTTTCAAACACAGTGTTTTTTCCCTTCTGCATTCACATTATGAAATATGTCTGAAAAGCTTGCTTTGAAGTGAGGCATCCTTACTTCCTGGAAGTTTATAGCTGCATTTCCCTCAAATGAGAACTGCTGCCACATAGACTTAGATGGAATACGGTTCTCTCTTCGTTTTGTAACTCTTACAAAAGAGAGGAGTAGAAAAGGAGATCTGGAATCATAGAATCATAGAATCCTTAGAGTTGGAAGGGACCTTTAAGGGCAATGTAGTCCAATTCCCCAGCAGTGAAAAGGGACATGCACAGCTAAATGTGGTTGCTCAGAGCCTAGTCCAGCCTAGTCTTGAGTGTCTCCAGGGATGGGGCATGCACCACATTTTGTTGCAACCTGTTCAGTGCCTCACCATCCTTACTGTACAAAAAGACTTTTTCCTTATATCCAACCTAAATCTACCTTCTTTAAGTTTGAAACCATTTCCTCTTGTCCTGTCACCACAGAGCCTGCTGAAAAGTCAGTCCCCTTCTTTGTTGTAGCTTCCGTTTAGACACTGAAAGGAAGGTGTTCAGACCTTTGGATCATTTTTGTGGCTCTCTTCTGGATGTGCTCCAACAAGTCTGTGTCTCTTCCATACTGAGGACTTTGCATCTGGATGAGGTGAGGTCTCTCCAGAAGAGAGTAGAGTGGCCAGATTGCCTCCTTCACCCTGCCAGCCATGCCTCTTTCAATGCAGTTGGGTATGGTTGGCCTTCTGGGCTTCAAGAGCACAGTGTTGTCTCATGTTCAGCTTGCCACCCACCAGTACCTCCAGGTCATTTTTGGCTGGGAATTTTAGCAACAGAATAACTTAAGTTTTTAAAAGATCCAGATTATATTTGCAAGGGGGAGGATTTTCTTTCTATGAAGAAAGGATTCTTTTCAAATGAAAGAAAGTGTTCTGTTACACCAGTGGTTTCTCAGTGCCACTATGAATAACCACACATGGGTTTGAATGCATTTTGTTGGCTAAAGAAGAGCATTGTGAGTTGGAGAGTATGCAGAATGTAAAATGTATGGTGACATCTGTGAGTGTAAATTTATATATATGTATATGTATGTATGTATACTTCAGATTTGCAAATATGAGCACAAAATAGGTTTGTATGGTGCAAGATAAGGAGCACTGAGGCTTATACCCTGTTTTTTTTTGTTTTGTTTTCCAATTAATTTTCACAATCTCTTTCACTCTCTTCTAAATGAAAACCACCCAAAAAATGGGACAGAACTCACCCCAATAGTGATAAAAATTTCATTACCTTTTTTTTTTTTTTTTACTTTTTTGACCTCCTTCACCAAAATGGCAATAGATGGTGTGTTGTGCAAAAACTAATCTCTTTATTTTTGAAGAAAATTTCCATCTTGAAAATTTTATGAGTGAACTTACGTGCAAATCTTAAAAGGCAGGAGGGAAAGGATGAAACTAATGAGATGTAAGGATGAGAGTTAAAACAAGTAAGATCTATTGATAATGTTTTGGCCTTACTGTTCTCTTAGCTGAACTTCTTGATCTAAAATTTATCAGCATATTACACAGCCCTTCAAAATTCTGAGTTGGAATTTCCATTTTTTAAAGTAATCAGCAAAGCAGTTAGTACTCAGAAGTTAATCAGAAGCAAATTTGCATGAATTGTACACCACATGGCAACTGAAGTTAAACCAAAACTGTTTGTCGTGAATATGTTTGAGGCTACCCCATCCAAAAATGAGTATCATGCTGAGAAACACCGAAGTGTCAGAGTATCAGAAATAAACATGAAAATTCTCCAAGCAATCTTATATGGTGAATTAATCTGTTAGCTCATTGTGTCTCATTTAATTATATTGCTTTGTCTGTCCAAGTTTTTAGTATTTTGTCTTCTGTGTTTACTATGCCATACCAAAGCTGTCTTAAGTACAATTATGAAGTAGTAGCCATGGGTGGGGGAGTTTGTGGTTTCCAAGTCTGTTTTGAAATGTGCAGTACTGTGTGCCAAAAAGGAGCACATGTATGACAGCAGTGCAACAGAGCAGCTGAAGGAACTTATTTCTGCTATTACCAATTAGCAGTTTTGGTTAAACTTAAAAATTCTTTCTACTCTTTCAACATGCAAGATGGATTCTTCTGTGATCTCTGCAACATATTCAATAGTTGTCTATCTTAGGTCTAATTGCTAGCTTCCATTACAGCATCAGTATAGTAATAGAAGCTAAATCAGACCATGTCCTTTTGCCCCAGGACAATAGAAAAAGTGCTGCTTTAAAAAAAAATCTAAAAAATTTAAAAAAAGTAGGTACTCATGCATTAAAATGCGGCGAAGAAAAAGTTACATTCACTGATTTGTTGCACTGCAGTTTTTATATTAGTAGTTTGCAGACTGTGTCTTGTGTAAACTTGTGTACAGACTATCAAGATCTAGAAGTCTTCGACTAATGAGCACTATTCATCTTGATTATTTTTAACTTGTATATTTCTAATCATATTTTTTTAACTTGGATTGATAGAATGGGAATTTATTTTGCTGGAGGTATTTTTAAGATAAAGCTTCATATTATCTTGTAATATCAAATGGCTCAATATGCATTTGTGTCTCATTTGAAAGTAGTGCATATTGTATTTGGTTTTATACAAAATATTGAATAGTGAGAATTGTAAACATGAATTACGTAAAATTAAAAATAATAATCAGAAGTTTGTGTGTTCACTTTTGTTTCCAACATTCTGAAGGAACTCAGAACAAGACCACATTTGTATGGGTCTGACCACTTTGTGCTCATAGAAATAATGAAAGAATCTCACTTGCCTAAAAAGGGAAGTTTTTTAATTAAAAAGCACAAATCTCAAAATATTGCATTTTAAATATAATTTTTGGCTCTGCGTTTGAGGGGACTGACTTCAGAATATAACAGTAATTGTACTCAAATAGTTGGGACACTCTTAGCCAGTAAAAAACTGGCTTCTAACTTAATTTGTCTGTATGTATGGTAGTGTTGCACTCATTTTTTTTTGAAATTGGTAGAATTTGAAATACCATTTACCACATGTAAATGGTGGTAGTGGAAATGGAAAGTGAAGATTTCTCAAAACAAAAATTTTTAGAATCATTTACTTTTACCTAAGTTATGAGGGTCCATGAAAAGGGAAGGGAGGAGAAGGAGAAGGAGGAGAAGGAGAAGAAGGAGAAGGAGAAGGGGCAGGGGAAATGGGAGGGGAAGGAGAAGGATAAGTACGTAATTATTCCAATATTTATTCTTACCTTACATATTTAAGAAAAAGCAAAGCATGTGCACCTTGGGCAGAACCTATTTGACAGATGAGTAAACTCTCACTTGCTCCAGAAAGGGATGTTCGTATTTGCTTGGAAAATCTTTGTGTTCATCAATTGTAAGGTTACCCTTTCTGTGCTTGTGTAAATGTTTAAACCACTTCTTCCTTTGCTAGTTGCCTGCTGAAGAGTGAACAAAAGGCTCTGCCTGGAATACGTCTGTGTTTGCATGTGATCACCACAGCAAAACACCACTAATCCCTATGTAGACATGCAAGCACAGCACAGGCACTGGACAGGGAAAGGCAAAGGACCAAAGCACAATACAGAGAACAGCTGAACAGTGACCAGGCCAAGGTTTTGGCAACGTTATGCACCGCAAGAATAACCTGTGTACAGTATTTCTGAAGCTTACTTTAATTTGGCACTTTCCAGCCTCCTTTATGGGTTCTACACAGCCCATGTAGGAGCAGAGAACACTGCAGCAAAACTGATGTGCTGTCTTCAGAAATATTCAAGGCTGAGCTTACTGAAAACAGAAACACTGCGAGTTTTAAAACTAAATAGTTAAGAGGAAGGTGCTTGGTCTTTGTTTTTTATTTATTTTTGCATGAGGGATGGGGCGAAGGAAATTCAGAAATTCAATCCCTTAAGTAACTGCCTCCCCTCTTCATAGTCCTTCCCAATATACAAGGCTGTTACAAGTCTGGCGAAGACCGCACTGCCCAGACAGCCTAAGCAGCAGTTGCTGTTGGTCACCCAGCTGCAGGTACATGCAGTGGCTGCATGCCAGCAGGCGCACACCACTTCCGTCTCACAGCCATCCCTGATTCCCAGCTCCTCCAACTCCCTCATCTGCTGCACACAAGTTATGCCATCAACACAATAAAAAGCTCGTTCTTATGCCAACAGGACAGAGGGAGCAGACATAAATGTCTCTTTGGCAGAAGATACTGTTAATGCAGGAAAACCCAAAATGACTGCTGCTAATAGCGGGAAGATTGCCATTAAAGACAGTGGTTGTATCCACAGTATTCTTCATAGTGGAAGGGCTCAGCTTCCTTATCGCCCCTTCTTCATCAGGTTTCCTACTAGGCCCACCTGGCTTTCCTCCCACATTTGAGTTCTGTCAACACAATTCCTTGTTCTTCCCAAAACATCATGCTTCTAGGACTGTGTCTTTACAACATGCAATACTTCTGGTGTCATGCTTCTAGGTGCTTTTTTTGTCCATTTCTGCCACTCTACTTTGTTTCTGAAATAAAATGTTTAATGTTGCTTCCATACTTAAAGAACTCCTTCATTTCACTGAAAGCTTCATAGAAAACGCCCACCAGAAAGTTATCTTTTCCCAAGGAACACAACCTTTGTTAGAGTCAGGAAAAACATCAGAAAACAGGATTTGATCTATAAAAAAAAAAAAAAAAAAAAAAAAAACCCACCAAAAAATACAACCAACAAGCTCCCACCAAGTCCAGAATTCCTGGATTATATGAGTAGCGTGTCAACTTACTTTTTCTCGTCAGAAGAGAGTAATCCAAGACCTTGTGTCTGCTTCCTTTACCTACAGAAAAGCTGTCCTGACATTTCATTGTGTTAACTCGTTATCTCATAGTCAAGTACTTACTAGTGTACAAATCTAGACAGAGAAACCTTTGTTTAGAGCTGACAGTGGCTCACAGTCAGCTACAGATAAAACAGACAGCTGAACGCAGAACTTTTTTTTTACACTGGCTACTCAGGCAAGCAAAAACCTTATTGAAGTTATTAAACTGGTGTTAATCAGAATGCTGCCATTAAAAGTGATGCAGTACCTAAAGCAGCTCTGTACATTCAGCCATCTGAAACATTTGTTGCATCATATCCTCAAAAAGGTGTTTGTGGACAGGTAACACCTGAAGGTTTTATGTAATTCTGAGTAGCAGAGTTGAAGAGTGGCAGTTGTTACTTTCTTGAGTCCAAAGACTGAAGATCCCACCCCACAAATTGTTCCATGCTTGCCCAGCTGGTTACTGAAAGAGAAGATCTCTAATTCTATGCCTGTTCACTCAGTGACATATATGAATGGACACTTTCTGCAGATAACCTTGGAGCATGTTCAGTGGTTGGTCAACATTACATTATTATCAACATTGCATTT